CTATATCCAAGCGAACTATATTATAAATATCGTCGCTTAAATTTTATTCCAGTCACATTTTTTCTGAAACGCTTTGAATGTGCGAGTTGCCAAAGGGATGCGGTTCGATAGCACAACAAAATAGAATATCGTACGGCTGGAGCGCGAATTCACCACCCTGCACCACCCTACGCGGGTGGTGGTGTAGGTCAACGGTATCGTAGGTCGATAAACCACCGGGCGGGCGGCGATGTGGAACTGTTCCTGGAAGTGGTTGCGGCGCCGCATTGGTCGGCCCGATTATTTATGCAGGTAGCGTCGGCCCATTACTTCGCCTCTCATTTGTCAGTCGCAGTCGTTTGCCGGAAGTTCGAATCTCGTTACTTGCTTCTTGACCTTCGAACGGTGAGCGCCGTCGTCCTCGTCGTCCTCGTCGTCGTCGTCGTCGTCGTCGTCGTCGTCGTCGTCGTCGTCGTCGTCGGCCAACCAAAATTATCCATCCCTTTAGGTTTATTTGGATGCATTTGATGCGCTAAATTTTAAATGCAGCGAGGAGAGCCGAATTTGCGTTAAACACGTAGTATTATTTTGTCGTAGCAAACCTAATTTGTAAAAAAGAGCTAATTTGAGATATTATGTAATTTTTTATCAACTCTCTTTTCCAGTGTATAACTTCTATATTTATTTAGTACATACAAAAATTAAATTGTTTCCAATAATTTTTACTATAAAAATATTATATATATATATGTTCTATTTATGTTACATGACCATTTTCATATTTAAGAATTTCTTGGTCTTCTTTTGTGCAATATCATTGTGATGAAAATAGTATGCTTTTTATGCTTTTTATATACGGCTACTCTTAATTTATTCAAGGTGTTAAAATGTCAATTAGAACAATGAACTATTTTTAATAATGCGATATTTAAAGATAAAAATTTGATGGCGAAAAATCAGTTGGAATATTTGCCGTGGTTGATCTGAGAATTATACCACGACGGATAACATCTTCCGCAATATCTAAGTCCTTCAAATATCAATGCTAAGCTAGACAGGAGAATCTCGCTGCTTCAAGGATAATCGGATTTATTACATCTGCCACTCCGGAATAATGCATAGCGTATTCGATGCTCTTTTGCGTACAGAACGAAGATATCCATTTATCTTTGCTCTCTCTCTCTCTCTCTCTTTCTCTCTTCAGCCAAAAATAGATGTCAATTGTAAAATGCAGATGAGATGGATCCATTTGACTTGACATCCCATTTTTGTATTCAGCATGAAAAAAATTTATGCATACTTTTCACAAGAAAATTACGACAATAAGACTAAAAAAATCCTTTAAAAAAAGAGGAAGCAAAAGTATATTAGTTCAATTTTATTAATTTATTCGTAACGATTTGTTGCCTATGAGAGTCATGAAGAATCATTAAAATTTTTAAATCGATGAAAGATTGGATTATTCACTTCGAAACGTTGTCCATGATGTGTGCAATAAATCACACATTCCGATTGCAGCGGAAGAACAGAGTTCTCGCTGCGACAAATGATCGCGATGAGGAATTTGCGCCGGGCGGGCGGGAGAGGCGGGGGAGGAAGGGGAGTGGGGAGGGGGGGAGGTAGGGCAGAGAAGGCTAAGTGACTGATGATGAATCGGCCAATTCATCCAATTTATCGTCGCATCCGTTCAGCGGTTTGATAGACATTTATATCGTTCAGCGAGTCCATTTTGGAATCCGCGAAACGGCGGAGTTACGATCGGTCAATAGCTCCGGCATTGCTCATCTACGAAATTGCGACAGAGGGCCCGCTGTCGATTCAGTCGCAGTTTGACAATGGCCAACAAAGAAGCTGTCACATGTATTATACCGAGCGACGCGTATCGCCCGTAGCTACAAATGTACGTGTTTAGCCGACGGACGTGCATACATGCAAGTATACCCCATCCCGCTCGAAGAGCTCGGATGATCGATGTGACGTCAGATGAACGGATCGGCTAATACTAGCATGGACCACCGGACATGCAGCCTCGGCCGCCACCTGGGCTACTACCTATTGGATTGGCCGATTCGATTAACCACTCATTAGAACGGATAAGTGGCCTTAGCGGCGTAAATGTTACTCTCCACTGTCTGATCTGTTTGATTACCTCGTCTCGCGGTTGAATTATTGCTGTAAAGCAGCGTATAAATAATGACCGCAATGCAAAATGGATGCAAGGTAGACATACCTTCTGTCACATCGTATATCTGATTGTCCGAGTAAAATGATTAATGTACAATACTTCTTTTTACGAAAGTAAGGAAATGTTTTTAGTTAATTATTTAACTAGCGATATTAATTGACGTATTAATTTTTAATCCGAGTTAAAAATGCTGTTTGTTAAAAATGGGAATATTAAATAGAACTCTTACGTTTACCTATTTAGCAATAATTTACTAATATTTTTCATTTTATAGCAAGGCCAAATAACTAATGTTTGTATGCAGTATTTATTTATTAAAAAATCGTACACGTCTTAACGATTCGCGACTCGCAATCAATCTGACGATTTCCTTTCTCGCTATTCATTTTCCTAAAATAACCCGTTACCATGGATTCGCGCTTAGCAATATTATCGAAATATCACATTACGCGACTTTTCTCTGTTTGATTACTTTCCATTACATTTTTGTTATTTTATCTTTTTTTCTTATTAATTTAAAAAATAATCTATTTTTCTTCATAAAATTTATGTATGATCTGTTACATACAACTATAAATTATTTATAATTTATAGATGTCGTGGCAAAGTTGTGAATAAGCCGTGCAATTGAAACAATGGATTTCGCTAGTATCGTATTTAACAAAAATATTTAGAGTCTAGTCACGTTCAATTATTGCTAATGCGCGTTTAAATTCTACCACCGGGGATTCTACAGAGAGGAATTAATAGAATCCTCCGTGATAATTGCACCCCGTTAATTCGCTAATTGCGGTTTCTCCAGTTCCGCGCTGTCGTTATCATCGGCACGGCACGGTGCGGCGCGGCGCGGCGCGGCGACGGCGACGGCGACTTTGCAGCGCGGCGTCGAATAATATCGGACGAAATAGTAACGCGCAACTTTGTTCAGACAGTTCGTATTTGCTTGTTGCTAGAAATTTATCGCTCCCAAAGTGGCTTGATTTACTCTTGCCAATATTCCCGTGAAACCTGCCTTGATACCAGCGTCTGCGTTTCCGGTGCATTTTTCACGCAGCTTTGAACAATCGCGATCTCAGCCACGCTCAATAAATCGCACATCGAGAAAATATCCGTTAAAGTTTTTCCTTCAATTCGCACTCTAATATTTTATGGAGGCATTTCGAAATTTAATTATCAAGCAAAGGAAGATTAGAACGTTCCTGTTTCAGGATTTATACGCTACGATTTGATGCGCTTCGTATATAAGTACAGTCTTTTGATAAAAATTTTTTGCGTGTGTTTAAGCATAACGGGAGTCGTTCTCCGGGAGATAGCTTATATACGGACGCACGTTTCGCGAAAGTAGTGACGTAGGGCATCGAGCCAGACGGCGCCGGTCTCTTATTCAGAACGCATAAGTTATTCGTTTAGCCTACAACGCCGTGCGGCACCATCGCAGCGGTCCGTTGTACGTGGCTGGCGTGTCACGAGAAGTGCACACGACCGCGCACACGTGCACGGCCTGCTAAAACGAACTTATACCTGTCTGGGAAAACTGCCTCGCAACCAGTGACGTACGGAGGGGTTGGCGAGGAAGACGGTCTACCCCGGTCGAAATGTCATTACAAGTTTTCAAGCTAAATAAAAACAAATTTGTCAAACTAAGACAGAACTCTCTACTTGCGAGCGTAATATGTTTCTTCGTATCCTATTTAAGTTTTCGAATCATTTACGAGGAGTTTCATATCGAGAGAGGTAAAACCAGCGAGTTTCAGACAAAACAAAAAATTCATTCAGATTAAAAAACGAAACTGCTTGTGAATGTACATTATTACGAGTGTACACATTTATTTTCTGTTTAAATTTTATATATATACATCTTTCGATTAAGTTTGTAAAAATTGAAATACCAATTTCTAAATCATTTCTAAGTAAAGAATTTATCAAAGAATAATAGAAATCGGCTTATCTATGTAATGTATCTTTTTTTTTTTCAATTTAAAACATTTTAATTATTGTTGTAATTATTTTCATTAGTAGAATTAAAAACTTTCTCGGTATAAGTTTTTTAACAAAACGAAACTAAGAAAAATATCCATCAGCATTAGCGCATATCCCTTTCAAATTTTGAATTTTTAAGTTATTTATGAAATACATCGGATTTGTCCTTGGTGACAAACATTTTAGGTACGTTTCTGTTTGCACCTGCCCGTCGAAATACTCCGTATATACGCCACGTTCCGTATTTCCGCGAAATGATCGCCACAAGAGCGAGCGCCGTGGGAGACATTAGCATTCTTTTCGTAAATTCAAGCACCGACAGCTCGTACATATGCTGAAAGATGTATTATCGCGCTGCGTAAACGCCGTGACTTCTTTCGTATCAGTTTTCTTCGTAACGGATCGCCATTTGAATTTCACATCTCGTCGTTTTAACGGAGAATTTTATTTTAAGGATTACGGATTTAATCGGTAAAGTGAGATGCGCGTATTTGTTGGCCGTTAATACGCCACTTTTAGGATATTACGTCTTCTACAATTTCACAATCGCATTATTGAATTTTAAATTTACGAGCTTTCAATTATGATAATCTCTCTGCTCTTAGTTCGATTTCCCATTTCCACATATCTCTTGTTTTCTATTTTTGCAGAAAATGTAAATGTTACCTGCGTAATGGACTTTTAGATATATGTTGGATAAGCGCAGATTCTCAGTTACATTTTATTTTAATGTATAATGATATTTATATATCGTAATGTATGTTTGTTTTATGTACAATGGAACATTTTAATGATTAATGTCGCTTTTATGTTGCAGGATCAATAGACATCAATTGACGTGTTGAATAAAGGATTGAACAAAGTAAATAGCAGCTGTTCCAGATCATTTTGTATTGTGAGTAAATTTATTATTTTACATTTGTTGTGCAACACTTTATCGCGCGCACTATAATGCGCTATTTCTAATGCACATTGTAATTTTACAATTTCAATCGTATTATTCTAAAATATATCTAAAAAATAACCCACCTCTCTAAAATTCTTTATAAAAATATATGAAGTTTTCATACGAAATGATTTACGTATCTAGATAAGTTAGAGTACAATTTAAGCGTTATTAAAGAAAAATAAACGCCAATAAACTTTGACATTTTCAATCATTAAACGTTCATTTTTATATCTATTAATAATATCTTTGTACATTTTATATCTATTAATAATATCTTTGTACATTTTATATCGCAAAAATTGTTAGACCTAAGATTCCAATGACCGAAAATATCAATATCGCAAGTCAAAGATATTTTGATAAAAGAATCTACATGCCTAAATTAATTTCAAAATAAGGTTTGAACTACATTAAAAATCTCTAGAGAACACCATTTACCAGAACGTTCTTTTTTATTACTTATTGAGCCATTTATGTCTGATTGCCAGTATTTTTATGAACACAAATTTGTCCCAGTTTTCCCGGCAAAATATCGTGTATGCCAAACGTGTCTATTACTGTACACGCCGTATTTTCCACGAGGAAAACTCGGTGAAACATTCATAAGCGAGTGAGGAAAAGTAGTGATGGTTAAGCTCCTACGACGGGACCACTTATATCCATAAGTGATGGCCATAAATGACCGAAGTAGTAATAGTCGACGTAATGTCCGACAAGCATGCGACGAGGGCGGTAATGGCGCCTTTACGAGCGGACTTCGGATTATTTCTTAGCAGAAGTACGCACATAAATGGCGCACGGTTATTTTGCCGTTATCCCCGTAGCTTCGATTATGCTCGCGAAATTCCGTTTAAGGACATCGTTGTCGTGGGAAAGCGGTGGAAAGAGAAGCCACTTTCACGGGGGTTATTACATCGTATCGTAACGGACACGCCTATATTTCGTTTTAACGCATCTGAAAATACGCAATGCATTTTTCAGAGGGTATACAATTTATATTCGAAAAAAATAGATAAGATTTATTTCATTTAACTAATAAAAATAAGAGATAGATATAGATATAATTTAAGACAAAAAATATTATTACTAAAAGAAATAAATATAATTTATTTAACGTACAATTTTTTCTGTCTCTTTATTACAAAATATTAAATAAGACAAAAATACGAATGAAGATTAATTATTTTAGTTAGTATTATGCAGGATTCAAATAATATAAAAATTGATTCTGCGCAATAATATCTACTTAATCAATAATGTCAATAAAATAGTCTTTTAAAAAAATTTCAGCGTGATTTCGTCATAATTCGATACGAAATAAGTCGCAAAGTACGAAAATAACAGATTGAATAAGTGCTTGTCAGATGAATTAATAAAATTGCAGATCAGTTTTGGCGAATTGTGGACGATTAATTTGCGGCGGATCGAGCGATATTAATCAGGGTGATTAATTTTGCAAGGATGGCCCAATTAAAGAGCCGTTGCATTTTTTTAATATCGCACGGTCTCATTTTCGCCCGGGCACGAGAGCGTCATGTTCGCATCAATATTAATAAATGGCAGATATTTCCCCGGCGGGGCTCGAAACCTCGCGTAATTATTTGCGATTTATTACATAAGCTGTAAATCGTGACCGCGATTTGTTAATCGCGTTTGACGTTCGTAAAAATAGAATGTGTCGCGAGGGAACGTATAACACATCTGTTTAGGTCGCTATGCTAATTTCCACATCATAAATTTGAAATATGCAATATATAGGGAATTTCATAAAATAGGACAGATGTTCCAGAAAATTTTCTATATCATATAAAGGATACGAACTTTACTTTGAAAAAGAATGAAAAATGAGAGAATGGAAAATAAAAACTTTATTTTTAAATTAGTAGAAATTATAAAAGTTTTTTATTAACATTTTACTAACTTTTTAATATTTTTTAATTTTAAAAACATTAATCGATTGTGCTATATCGACCTAATTATATGTGTCTTATTATATTACACATCTTATTATTCATATAAGCTTCAAAGCGATATTATATATTAATTTTGACGCAGTAATTAACGGTTACGTATGTAAATATTTACAGCGTGATTTGCATTGGCTCTTTCATTTTTCTTTCATTATCGACAGCCCATTGTAACGTAGAACAAAAAGATATAGGTAATGACATTGATAAAATGACATTTTTTTCAAAATTTTTAATACAAATTGCATTTTATTATGCGCTTGGTATTAATTATATTTTGGTTGATTAAATGTTCTGGTTTTCTCTTAAATTTAAGTTATATTATAAACAAAATCTAAGTTTTTTCAATTACACGCTAGTCCGTTGACTTAAGCTTATTATTTTCTTCTCAGCTTGTTTAAATAAACTTTTTAACACGAGGAAGCTATCTCGGGTTACTCAGCGGATATTATAGAAACTAAACGTTTACATTTAATTTTCAAAGATAACCTCGGCTGCTTCGGATAAAAGTGAATATACACGTGACTCGATTAAACTTTCGCGAGTTTTAATCCTCAGCTTAGGAAGAAGCTGGGCACACTATGTATATGTGCTTATTCTGAGAACTGCATTGCGTTGCATAATTACAAAACAGTATATAAGTGCAATATATTTAACATATTGCATTAACATTAAACGTACGCTTGCGTGCGCACACACATACATTACATTTGATGGCATTCCAATTAAAAGTAAATAGTTATATTTTATTTTGATTTTTATTATATTTGATTACATCATTATTATTGGGTGATCTCTTAAAAATAATAAGAAATACAAGTTGAGTATATAATCTGATTCAACAGCCGTGTATCTGTGGCCGGGTTCCGATATATACTATCAGTACTAAAAATCTATAGTTCGCGTTACGTATATTATAGATTTTCAGTACTGTCTATCGAAACACGGCCTATGTAACCTTAATTGCATTGTTAATATGGCACTGCCTTAATTATTTAATTAAGCGTACGTTTTATGAAGCATCTAAAAATTGGAATACACTATAGGGGGAATAATTCCATATGAATGAGTGATATAATAAATTTTCAAGATATGTATATAATGCGAATATAATGGAATCTTAAATCCTCTTCATATCGAAACGCAGATAAAGCTCCGACTAAGTAAACCTCGAGTGAGCAAACAAAGGGTCTCGATTGCCATGATAAACCGCGGGTCAGAATGCTATGATAACATTATTTATCGCTCAGATTACGTAATGCCTGCTCCCGTAAATTACACGCCAAGATTTCGAACGTGCCTGTCTCGGCTACTCTTGACCCGCCTTTCGCTTTTCTCACGTTGCCCTTCCTCCTACTCGAACCCGTTTTTCACCGGGGCCCTGCTCTCTTTCTCTCGCCATTCAACAAATTGCTGGCGCGCCTCTCGGGATTTATCGTTTTTCCACTAGATGCTGCTTTATTTATTCCACATTCTCCGTGTATCAGGAGGGGATGCGCAGGTGCACTGAGATATCTCTGGATATATACTGCGAGGGGAGATAAAAAAAGAGAGGGAAAAAAAGGTGCGTTCAAAAAAGCGAAAGAAAAATACGATGATACGAAGCGCTGAGAAAAATGACAGAGTCAAAGAATGGCGATGAAAGAGACGAGATAAGGGGGCGAAAGTGGTAGCGCGTGCGGGGGTGGGCTGTCACAGCTCTTCGGAATGCAGATTTCGCCCGAGAAGATCGCGGTATTTGTAGGCGACAGCCACTAAAACGCCTCCCATCCCCCTCCGACCGTTTCGTGCCGTTCTCCGTTTTTGCGAGGGCGATGCATCGCGTCGAAATTTACGCCCAAAATCCGCCATCCGTTCGCTGGTGTCACCGGGAGAAAATCTCATAGCGAAAATATCAAATATGTATATTTCTTATTCTTCTCTTTAAAAAGCTTTATACGCGCCGCTGTATTTCTAGACATTCGCGCAAATCGACGGCTATATTGAGCCGTTTCACGTAACGTTTTATCACCTCGAGCATTTTTATACGATTTAGGACGTCACTAAAAAAGCAAATATAAAGATAGGTCAGGTTGCTCGCGGAATCATAGAGTTTCATGTAAAGAGTTTTCTTTCTAATAATCATATCACTTTAACTGCAACGCAAGAAAGACTTTGTCTTTCAAAGTTGCATTAAAAAGTTAAACTATTTCAAATGATAACAAAGTGAGAAAAGCTTTTCCAAAAATGAATCACTCTGTATGTAACAGCGGGATAAATGCAAGTAATACGATAAAGAATTTTAAGATTTTTGTTTTCAGTTTAATAAATAGGAAACTTTTAATTTTGTTACTGTAAAAGAGAATATGGAAGAAACGTTATATCACAATTGCATAGATACATGAATGTGTTACGTTAATTACGTAGATCGTACCGAATGATGAAAATTTTAATACATTTATGCTTAATTTTGCGATAAAAAAAATAATAAAGAACGGACAGTATCTCGTTTGATATTTATCAAAATAAATGTGTATCCATATTTTCATCGTACCGTAATGAATAAAAATGAAGGTTTTTGCACACCGCGCGCTCGTTATATCCTAACTGGGATACGTTGATTAATATTTCTTGCAGTGCGGAACGATAATTAGCATTGTTCTGGCTATACCATATTCTGAAAGTTATACACAAAGCACGTCAAAGCGAAATTATATATTAATTTCGGCGCAGTAATTGGTGGTTACATAGATATTCAGCGCGGTTACATTGGCTTTCACGTTTTTCATTCATTGTCGACAGTCCATTATAATGTAAAACAAAAAGATACAATGACAAAGATAAAATGACATTTTTTTATTTTTACTAAATGAAACGATCTCGAATCATAAATCAAAGAGTCCTCCAAGAATGAATTTATTCATTAAAAGAGATAGTAGTAAAGAACAAAAGGAAGAGCAAAAACATTTTTTTTTACATGCACACGTTTTTCGCCGTTTC